GTGGGTCCTTGTGACACACGGGGATGGGGGCAGCCAGCGCTCAACCTGTCATCCACGTGGCTGGCCTTGTACGTAAGAGGTTATGAACAGGTGGAGCTTTCCTTACTTCTTCCCCCTCCCCCTTTTTTCCTTTTCCTTTTATTTTCTCCTTTTTTGCGCTCTGATTCACAATGTGACAATATGAGGGTTCAGCCTCCTGATGAGTCGGTGAAACTCCGACGAAACAGTTTGTCACAGCCCCTTGTTTGTTGTCCTCTTCTCTCTCTCTGCCTACGGTTTACCGGGCAGTTCTGTTTGTGACGATATATGTATATGTGACGATATATATATCTGTTTGTGACGATATATATGACGATATATATATACGATATATATCGTCACATGAATATCAGAGCGCAAAGGCGAAAAAAAACAAAAGAAAACAAGAAAAAAATAATTCGTTTTTTTATCTTCTTTCTTACAACTCCCCCTGTTCAGAACCTCCTGCGTACAAGGCCGCCCACGTTGATGGAGGTTGAGCGGCGGCTGCCCCCACCCCCGTGTGTCATATCGACCCACTTGCACACAGCCAAGAGGCAAAGAGGCAAAGAAAAGAGGAAGGGAACAGCCAAATACAACAAAACAGGGGGCAACAAGCAACAGCACCAAAAACAGATCCTAGATGACAAGTCCCACATGCAAGCACCGCCCCTCCTTCACAGGCCAAACGACAGGACAAGACCACCCAGGACAAAAGTCTTGTCTGCAAAAAAAGAAAAATCCCAGATTACATATCTATATACAGCAGATGGCCTTGTTCGTCATCAAGACGTGGGTATTCCCATTTGTAAACCATTCTTACTGGGACAAAAAACATAAAAGACAATCCCAGATGACGATTCCCACATGAAAGCACCACCCCCTCACACAGGCCGAACAACGGGAAGCAACCAACTAGGATGCCAAGACAAGAAAAGAGAACGCGGATGACTGGTCCCACATGAAAGCACCGCTACGCTCGCCGAAATAGATCGAACAACGGGACCCATATATATATGAGTCGGTGAAACTCCGACGAAACAGTTTGTCACAGCTCCTCGTTTGTTGTCCTCTTCTCCCTCTCTGCCTACGGTTTACCGGTCAGCTCTGTTTGATGATGTATAGGAGTCGGTGTAACTCCGACGAAACAGTTTGTTACAGCCCCTCGTTTGTCCTCTTCTCCCTCCCCTCTCTGCCAACGGTGTACCGGGCAGCTCTGTTTGATGATATATAGGAGTCGGTGTAACTCTGACGAAACAGTTGTCACGGCGCCTCGTTTGTTGTCCTCTTCTCCCTTTCTGCCGTTGTTGTCCTCTTCTCCCTCTCTGCCGACGGTTTACCGGGCAGTTCTGTTTGACCATGTAGTTTTGCTTTTTTCCGCCTTTGCGCTCCCATTCAGTGTGACAATATATGTATAGACATTCTTATATCAACCGATCGGTTGATTGATTGATTGGTTGATTGCTTGCTTGTTTGCTTGCTTGATTGATTGGTAACTAATTAAAATCATTCTGGCATAATCCCGGAAAAGAAAAAATAAAGAAATCCAATCTCATGGAAGTTTCCTTTTTTTTTTTGGGTGAAGAATATTCTATGTTGTAGCCTGCAAGTAACTCAGTTTGCGCTTCTGGTAAATAAAAAAGAGCAAGCTTGGCGACCGCCGCCTACACTCTAGAGACACGCCGTTTGTCGACCCGGTCATTCTAGAGACAGGCCGTTAGTCCCCCCGGTCGGCCGGTATTGAGCCGAGGCTGCTGATATTCGTAGGGGGAGGGGGCTCGAGGGGAGGCACAGCGATTGGCCCATCGAAGAAGCTCGGTCCTGATGCTATGGCCCTATGGACTGACCCCTAGCTGGTATTTCCCAATTGCTGTAGCAGGAATAGACCACCTGCTGGCGGGTGCGGCCTCCGCACGGTTCCTCGTCGTTGGAAGGCATGCACACGGACGTGGCTGCGAGCTGAGGGGTTCAGCGTACTACCATAATGATACGGTAAAAGGAGAAGGGGCCCGTAAGGCCGTCCTGTCTGTAGATTCGACCACGTAAATGAATTGGTTGGGCTTAAAAGAAAAATAAAAGAAAAGAAAAGAAAAGAAAAGAAAAGAAAAGAAAAGAAAAGAGCACGATTCGCTTACGCTAAACAAGAAATAAAATATCCCTTTGTCGGCCTTTTTTTTTTGAATGATTTTGTGTTTTTGGCTAAGATCAAGTGTAGTATCTATTCTGATCAGTTCAATATCTGATTATAAAACAAAATAAAATAAATAAACAACAAATAAAAGACAGATCCCTTAAAATTGGAAAGATACAGAGAAGATTAGCATGGGCCCTGCGCAAGGATGACACGCATAAGCAAATTGTACTTTTTAAAAAATAAAAAAAAATCAGTGAAGGAAAGAGGGGAATATAAGACCTAAAAATAGAAACTTCTTAAGAAACCACTTGAGCAGCAGATCGTAGTGCTCCTAGAAAAAAGAAAAGCATATCCGGGATTACTAAACGAGTCTGCTGTTACAATACTACAATGATAAAGCAAAGTCAGTCATGACCGACCAGACGCTTGACACATAACTGCGACTGCGCAGTGCTCATGTGAAAATAATATCTCGAAAAATTATCTCGAAAGATAAGCTAAGAAGCACATCCCATAGCCTTAGTTATGGCACCTCCGTCCTCCTCACCAGAATAGAATGGAAACACCAGGAGACAAAGGAGCTGGCGATCCCCTACTAGTTTCGGCCTCTGCCAGTTAGCGACCTTATCAGGGGATCCAATAGTTTAGCTGATTGAAGAAGTGTGTAGTTTGGTGATTGGGTGCCAATACGTGACTGATGAGGACGGTAGGAAGGATGGACGCACCGGGACTGTTGATATGAGGATGCGTAAGTGCCAGAGGGGGGAATGAAGCTGAGGGTAGACAGGGAAAGGAGGGATGTCGCCCGCGTGAGAGAGAGAGAGAGAGAGAGAGAGAGAGAGAGAGAGAGAGAGAGAGAGAGAGAGAGAGAGAGAGAGAGAGAGAGAGAGAGCTAGGCGAGAAAAGAGACCTTTAGCCATCGCCCGCCAGCTGGCAATAGAAGTGTACTCTCTCTCCCTGCCTTTCCTTTCTTGCTTTTCCTCCCTCCCTGTTGTCGCCTCGCCGCATGAACTTAATCTCTTGCTCTTGCGACAGAGGCTCAAGGATTTGTTTACTTATTTTTTAGTTACTCTTTTGGTTCTAGAATCTTATAGGATTGCTTGTCTTGGGTCGGGATCTCATCCATCTTGTTGGGTACATGCTGTGACTCGGGTACTATGTTGTAACTTCTAAACGAATTGTGCTTTTTTTTTTTTGGGTGATCGGCAGATGTTTGTTTCTTCCCAACATCTGAAAAAATGAACGTTGCAAAAATCTTTCGCAACAGGCCTACAAGAGGAGGGAGCGAGTGTCTGGAACCTCTTTTTTTCTTTTTTTTTCTTTTTTTACTTCAGACCGTTTCTGGGTTTTTGCGTGTCTTGTCCTTGAATGCGCAAAGGTAATTAAACTAACTAATCTTTACTTTATGGCGTTGAAAAGTTTTGACGGATGT